ACCATGTTAACGCTCCTTCACTGGTGAGTGGATAGAAGTAATAAAAAGATGAGCAACAAACCTGGGTAGCTAAGAAAGGAAATGAAATCGTATATTGAAAAACCCTAGCATAATGCCTGGTACCATCCCCTTAGCCCTTGAATACAATAAGTGTGGAACACCTTTGCATTTGTATTTTGTTTTTCTCATCTTATGTTATTATTAAAAGAGCACAGTAATTTTGAAAATGATTGAGATGGCTGTTTTTTTCTAGGTTTTTTTAACATGTGGGGATTTGGAAGAGTAAATAAACAAGCCAGCCACCCTGTTAAAAAGCAACAAGAGAATGCCACTTCGTTCTCATTGGAGCTTATTGGAGATTTGATTGGACACTCGTCATCTGTGGAGGTATTGTTTTTAACATGCATGTAAATGTCCAGGGAATTTCTGCTTTTGCATCTCACTGCTCTTCATTCATTTGGTCTCATAGAGACCTAAACTTTCTCTCTTATCATCTTTATCTGTAGGTTTTTGCTGAATCTAAACATGGAATGGGATAGGTTATAGTATGTGCAGTTAGGATCTCCCTTTATTTATAGAGAGGCGATTTGAAGAAGGAATGTGTTGCTTCTGAAAAATGGCTTAATTACCATTATGTATGAGATGTAGGTAGGTTGCTGACAAGATGGACAGTGTGAACAATATTAAATAGATATGTGTAACGGTAGTAAATAGAGGGAATATGGAGGGTTCTGCTTTTATATGCAAAGCCTTACAGAATCTGATCCCAGGGGCCTTTATCAAATTCATGAATAGAATTTGTTCTTAACTCCCTTTGAAAGATAATTTGTTGGCTTTAGTGAAACCCAATGTCTTGATGCATATATCAAAGTAATAGTTGAGAACTGTAAGATATATACAATTTTAACTTGTTCTAAATTAATATTTATTATAGACATCATTGCCTGTATTAAAAGAGAGAAAGTGGTGAAGAGATGATTGGAACTGGTAACAGTATAAGCAGAGCCATAAGTAATGAATTTCTTAAGTTGTTCCCTGTTTTGTGGCTATGGAGGAATAAATTTTCTTCTGAAAGTGCATTTATGCTTAGGAGCAAGTAGCAGCAAACACTTGTTACTGAGCATTTCCTGTGTTTCAGGAACAATACTGGAGACTGGAGTTTTCAGAGAGATGTAAAATACAACTTCTTCTCGTGGATCTTACATTTTAGTAGACAGGAAGGACTCGGACCTAATAAACTGTTCATCTAGGTTGCTTATGACGGGCCCAGATGAATAGCAGGAATTATTAGAAAATAGTGGAAGATATGGATGGGACTTAGCTGAACCTTGAAGCTTAAGGATTAAGGTAGGATTAAGACAGTCTTGTGACCATAAGCTCCCTGATGTTGGATACTCTGTCTTATTCATTCCTGTAACAGGTAGGTTTCCACTTTGTTTTTTGTTTTTTTTTTAACTTTGGGAGTTGTGAGGATGGAATGTTGTAGATATGCAAGCAAAGATAGAATCTACTTGGTGACAGGGAGCAGGCTGGCTAGTGGATGGGCACCACTAGTGGGAGATGAAGCCTTGGCAGAGTAG